CCCCAAAACCCCAAAACCCCAAAACCCCATAAGTACATTAAATCACAATACTAGATAAATAATAGATTTTTAATATATTAAATCATTATTTGCTTAGTCTTCAGGATTATTTTATAATCTCCATTATCTTTTTATAAGTAATTTAATATCTAATCGCTGTTAAATAGAATCTCCCAAATTTATCAGTATTTGGATTGTTCTAATCAATGACCTCACTATTCCATTTTCTAATAATTTTTGTGCCAATAATTAAAACTACAAGTAGATTTATCAAAGCTTGAAAAATCAGTGACAATACAAAAGCGAATAAATCTATTGGGTACATAAAAGCACATATTATTAGAATAGCTAATAAACCAGCTGCGTTAAGTAAAAATAATAAGAAGCATTGGTTTCTAACCTTTTTGCTGATTTACTATTGATTTTCAAGTTTCATTAGATAATGATCTTTTGATTTTATAGAGGATATGTTAGCAGTTGTGGATTTCTTATTTTCATTTTTGTCAATTGTTTCATCAATTTCCATTTTTATATCAATCTCATGAATAATTGAGTTATTATTTGAACCTTCCTCTTATTTTTGCTCCTCTATTTTCTATCCTGAATCTTTAAATCTAAGAGATTAATCCTAAGCATATCTTTTTTAACTTGAAAGCTAAGGAATTCTGTCAGAGAAACTTGACATATCATTAAGACTAATACTATGAATATCATCCTTGAAATACTAAGTTATTGGATTGTTATTATCAGTCTATACATTGTGGTTCTTAAAATCTTGATTCATTTGAATATGTGGAAGTCCCATCGATTCCTCGAATTCCTTTGAGATACATAAAGTGCCAGATTTTTACTATTCAACGTCTTTTAAATCAAAAGTTGTTGATGATCTTTTTTTCTAATGCATTTTATTTCTAGATTTTAAGGGATTTTCAGTGTCAATGCCCTTTTAATCTGTATGACTCCTTTGCTTTGCTTCTTGAATAAATGTTGCTTCAAAAGAATTTTCATCTTTCCTTTTCATCAATACTTTCATACTATCCTTACCATCTTAACTGATTTCTCTTTATTTGGCTTTCTAATTTTCTTTTAATTCTTACTCCAATCCATAGGTGTAACTTATAATCTAATTCTATGGGAAGTGCAAAAGTATGATTGCTATTATAGCTATTAAAAAGCCATCTATGTTTTCATCATTAAATATTCTAAAATCATTTGCTTGAGAACGCAAAACAAAGAATATTCCTGTTACAGCTGCATAGGAGAATATGATTCCAAAGAAGGATTAACTTCTCAGAACTAATTAAACATGATGCTAGTATGAGAATAGACTAAGGAATGAATTGTTGAGGAATGTAAAAATTCTTAGTTATCCTAATAATGTAATCTTTTTTTCATCTTTTTTCTCACTCCCACCAAAAGAATCAGTAGTTTAGCTTGATAGAATTTAATTTCCTTTACTTTTGTACATCCTTTCGATTTTCTTTTATTTTACTTTTGCATCTTAGCTATAGTGATAAAATGCTAATATCTGAATAGCTAGGTAGATTATCGCTAAGCAAATAATTATAATGATATATCTCGGTTTATTTAACTCATAAAACGTTTTGTTGTCATTTAAAGAGTCAGGATCATAATATTCATTCTTTTTTGAAATTACAGTGAAAATGCTCAGATGCTGTGTTATACATTAAATTGAATTATTTGTTGTTAGGATTTTGGTAGATACTCCAGCTGTAGACCAAAGTTATGTATCCTCATCTAAATATACACATAGAGCATCACTTATTTTTGTGGTTTAGCTTTGATTATATTTAAAAATCATAGAAATGGAATTGATGAAGGTTACATTTAAAGCTTATCCTTATTTATTGAACAAGTCAAGACTAAGAATTCTTTCTACTAGATATATAGCCTTAGGTAAATTATCAGATTAGTTTACAAGGTTTATTTATGCTAAAATTCTCTTATTATTAGAATAAGGAAGGTAAATTTGGTGATTATTATCCTTGAACTAAGAAAATTTCGGTTTATAATCAAACTAGAACATCCAATCTATAGTCTCGCTCGATATTTGGATTTCTAAAGAATCTCCTATTGTCCTAATTTCATTATTTCCGTATAAACTAAAGAGGCTTACCTCTGTTAATCCATATTAAATTTATATTCTTTAACTTGGTAAAGATAGATGAATTTTAGTTTCAATTAATCTCCTTTTAATAAGGTTGAATTTAGCTTATTAATCTTTGTTTAATGAAATAGTCTAATTCAGACCCATCAATTCAAGAATTTTATCGATTTAGTAACCAATATTTTAATGGACATCAACATCAATAATTTATGGGTTTTGAAGAGCAAAAGCAACAATATCAAGCAATTCATCTCTATTTAATCGGATATCATTTGGATTGACTACATTAATTAGCTGAAATGCTATCTATAGCAAATTAAAGTTCATTTGAATGCATTGCAAATCTATTAAGCAGTATTTATCTCTGTCTTGCGAATTCACCTATCTGTATAGGAGCACTACTTATTCGAGCAATTAAGAGTAAAGTGTTTGCTTTGCTTAAGAAGATCTACTAACCAGCTAGAAGCAACTAATTATCAAATTTAATTTTCTTTAAAAGTCATTGGTTCTTTATAGCTAAATATATTTTTAATTGAATAGAGTATCTCCCGACAAAGTCATATTTAAGGTCATATTAAGACCTTTAATTTCTTGCATATAAATATTATCGTAATTATTTCTGACCTCGACAAAGATTCTCTAAAATATTGGGAAATCATATTCGAAAGTAAATTGATTATCCATTAGCTTTATTGCTTGCCAGTAAAAACTGAACTAATCTTCAATTTAAATAATCACTGAGTAAAATAGATTCAGGTTTTTTTATGGTGTGGCTACAGTACCCCAAATTCCTAGAAAACTTAGTCGCATATTACTAAGATAATAAAAGCCTGTATTTGGAGATAATGAAATACTCCCTTATCTAAGAACTTAAGGAATAGAAGATTAAGTTGTATTGATCATTCTAACAAGAGTGAAATTAGTTTTTTTATCTGGATAAAAAACAGTTAGATTAGCATAGTAAATCCTATTTTATAAAAGCTAATAAGGATAAATCCTTAAGAAACTTTAAGAATCTTTCATTTCAACAGTTTACTAAGATATTATAACTGATGTTACGTTCCATCTGAAGTTATTATTTAATAGCTACTGATAAGTGCTTTCAGAGCAATTTAAGGATAAAATAAGAGTACGGGAGATGTTGACTATATTAACTTGATTGCTTAATATTTAGCAATCTTTTGGAACCTTTTGATTGACCTGAGAAATATAGTGACTATAGTGAGAGTATTAAACGCCATTTATCCTGACATCAAATCTAAGAATCTAGCCTATTAGTATTCAATATTGCTTTAGATCACTTCTCTGTAAATTGAATTCAGTTCCTCTTTGGCTTTTGCAAACAGAATCTATTTTCAATCTGCTATCGCAATTCCATTGAATATCTAACTATTGCATATTAGTGTTAGGATTGCGAGAATTTAGAGATATTAGTAAGGAGAAATCAGTGTCAAAGTCTATAGTAGTAGGTCCTTCTAAGAAAAATTAATCGAATTCAATTGTCGATTTGTATTTTAGAATATTTAATGTTTCCTAAAAGACCTCCACATCTTGATAATCATTATTTACTGTGTAAAATACTTAATGATTGAGATTATAAGTTTGATCTTGTGATTGAAGCGAATTGTAATCAATAACTGTGTTATTACTTCCTTATCCTTAGAATGATTTATAGTATAGTATCTAAGTAGGAATATCATTATTTTGATTCAAAGCAGCTATTTTTGACATCATCTATGTTATTTTTATTCCTTAGCAATAACTTGTAAAATTTAGAGGTCTTATTAAAGGTTATTTGAAATACTAATCTACTTGATTAGTGTAACTAGAAGATGATTGACTAATAGCTAGGCACTCTTTTGTTGGAGAATCAGGCTAAATCATAGTCTAACTAGTAATTATCTGAGATTATCTAGCAGAATTATAGATGTATACACCAATTTTTATTATAAATCCTGGTTTATTAATCCCCTATTAAGTTCGAATTGCTTGTGTAATGTTCAGAGAAGGTTTTGAAGTATTACATAGAGCAGATATATTATATTCGGAAGGGCAAAGCCACTTGTAAAAAAACTATCTGTTTTTAGGATTTTAAGAATCATAAGATTAGGTAGCATCCAACACTAATGGATCTTTTAAGGCTATCTTCTGATAGGTTTACTTCAACTAAACTATCAACTACTAATTACTATCAATTTTTATTATTTAGACATTTTTATAGTAGACTAATAACTTGCCAGAACTATCTGTGTAAAACATATAGGCATTAAGAGTGTACTAAGTGCTATCATTCTGATACATTTAATCAAGTAAGAATTTGCTAATTGTTAAGTTAAGAGGCATATTCCCTTGAGTTAAATCAAAAGTTAGGGTTGACTGATTGAACAATATATTTGAAGGGTCATCTAGCAAAGTTTTTTATAAATTGAAATTTTAGTCTCCACAATCTGTTTTTTAAGTTGGAGGGTAAATCAATATTGTTTAATTTCCATCTTAAATATAATATGAACTATCTTCATTATCTTATCTTACCATAAGTTAATTATTTTCCTCAAAATTGAAATAGGGACATATTTGAATATTTATAGTATAGGGAGGAGATTTTATCAGAATTTAAATCAGAAAAACTTATTAATTGCCTAGATTACTATTCATGGTTGTAATAAAAATAGTTTGATAGTAATCAAATTTCCATTTAAACAAAAGTCTTTATTATGGGGAAATAGAAATACTGTTTGTGTTAAATTCATTTTAGCAAAAATTTCCTATTACAGTTCTTGATTATTAACACGTCCAATACATATCAAGTACTGTTCCAGGATCTTATGGATCATACGTTCCACTTGCATTAAGAAATATAGTCTCATCATAATTATATTAGAAAGTGTTGTTGTTTGATTTTAGAATTAGAACGAAATCTGATGCAATTTTTTGTAATTTTGTTTATAAAAATATTACTTTCTGCTAATCCTCCATTTCTGGTGAAGTAAGGGTCACTGTTATATTTATCCTTATGGATTCTCCTATTTCAATATAATTTCTTGATGTAAGATGAAGCAAAGCTAAGGTATCATAATCTGCTAAAAAGAAGAACATATCAAAGTACTTTTTACTTAACTCAGAAATTTGAGTTTGAGTTAAATTGGAGTTAGCATTATCAATCTATTCAGAATGGAGTATCCAAGATACATTTGAAAGATCAATCAACCAATCAACCTTAGCAATTTAATACTTAGCATAGTATCCAGTTCTCATACATCTAAGATAATAATTGGGTAGTATTGGAACTGTATTTGATTGCATACTCATGTTGACTAAAGGAGGTAAATCAATCTAGGGACATTGGATACCATTGCTATCAAAAACAAATGTCACATTTATATCTCGAGAGCTTACTTTTTGATCTTCTAATTTAGGTGATGCCATTATTGTAAAGTTCAGTGGTATACTTGTTTTAAAAATCATTAACTTACGTTGCTCTGGAGTAATTAATAGACTTCCTTTGGAATCAATAGCGCAAAGATTTTCAAAAACATAAGGGAAATTTAATAAGTAAGGAGGACACCTTATACCAAAATTTACACCTTTACCTTCCAATCCAGGATATATCACAAAAGATTTAGATACATTAATGATCAGAGGATCAAGTATTGTTTGAACAATCTCTTTTGATTCAAACACAATAATTACTGGATCTTAAACAAATTTAAATGCTACTGTTTGTGTGTAAGTAAAATTGCTGGCTAGTTTAGAATTTAAATAGGTGAAGGAAACATTTGCTTTAAATTCGAATTAATTCTAAATAGCTGAAATCTTCTATTAGATATTTATCTACTGATTCTAATTAGAAAAGGATAAATCCACTAGTTAATTAAGTTCAGTAGCATTTTAATCTAAGTAAATAGTCCAATTAAAATTTAGCTATTACTGAT